GCTAGCTATCTGAGGCACTTCAAAAGATTTGTCGTTTTTTTACGAGCATAGTGTCTAGATAACCTCCCGCCCAATGTCTCCCAAAACCCAAATGGTCTAGTCTAGTGTGCAAATAAAGTGCAAACGGAATCAGATGATGCCCCTACCTCTGGGCTCTGGCTCCCCTGAAGCTTGAAGGTAACATATCACGAAACTCTTGAGAGATCGATGGTGAACTTGGTGACAAGTCCCAATGATGCAATTAGCTATAGCTAACCGGTATGGATCCTCTAGATAGAGATAATCCGTCTTTTTTAGCTTGTTTTTTTTTTCAACCGGAATAGTGTTTTCTCTCCCAACAAATCAGTCGGAACAGTGTTTCGGTTTATTTTTTCAGCGAAGGGAACGGGACCAACTGTCTGAACAGTTCTATTGGCTTCTTCCAACACGCTCAGCGGCTCTGCATGTGGCTAGTAGCTAGAGCTCATCATCCGTCCTGACTCCTGGGCAGACTGGTGCACGTACGTACGTACGTGTGCAGGGCATTTTTTTTAAAACATTGGCAGGGCATTGTTAAACAGGTGCGCTCTTTGTCGTGATGCCTCGGAATCCCGCCACTCTTCTTCGAGCCGCGCCAAAAGCATCTCCGTCGTCGTCCCGCCCCCTCCGTGCCCGTGCAGTGAGTGACACGCAGGCTCCCGGCGCACATGCCGCCGCTTGCGTGGATCGGGATTCCCCGCCGCGCGTGCCGACGATCTTGGCTGCTGGTCCTTGCGTGCCTTGGTCCTTCGTCCGCGAGCGCTCGCTCGACCTACTACTACTAGCCCCTGCCGTGCGTGCAAATGGTGTTGCATTGGGTGACTGTTGCGCCATGTGATGCATGCATGCCCACCTGATGGTGCGCCCAAGTGAAAGAAAGAAAGATTGTAAAAAATGAAAGTACGCTTTGGTCGGTCCACATGAATGAATGGAAGGGTTTGGTTGGTGGTGAACGTGCTACGCTGTCCTGACTCCTGTGGTGCCACTTGGTCGTTCACCGATCATGTTCGGGAGACCGTAAACGATCGTGGATTATTTACTGCTGGCTGGTTTGGTGTAAGAGAAAAATACTGTTCTGACTGTAAATTTACGATCGTTTACGACCAAGCGAACAGGCTGATAGTAGAGGGACGCCTCCTTCATCTCTTTCAAGTACAAGTTTTCATTAATGAAAAAATGAACCATTTCTAGACAATTTTTAATTAAAATCTCAGGACAAACACCCCTAGCTAGGACACAAACATGCGACCTCTTACCTTGTGTAACAATCCCTTTTAACCACCGCTACAAAACTCATTTTGTGAGTGAGTATAGTGTGCTATCCCTTTGTATTAACATTTGATAATCTTGTATTGAATATTTTTGCTTCTAAATGATCTGAGAAATGTTTTAACTGCAAAGTTTTATATTTTGTCGACAACTAAAACTTTGGCATATATCGTGTTTCCATCCGAGATTGTTTGAAGATTTCAAAAATTTTGAATTTCAAAATCTGATAACTTAAAACAAATATTGGACGCTTTAAATGACCTCAAATAAAAAACTTTTAACTACAAAGTTGTAGATTGGGTCAACCACTACAACTTTGATATAGGCAATTGTCAATGTCCGAGGTCATCCCAAAAATCTAATTTTTTTAATTTCAAAATATGATAACTTAAAACAGATATTTGGAACTCTAAATGACTTGAAATCATCAACTTGTCTAATACAAGTTGTAGATCGTGTCGAACTCTACAATTTTGGTATAAAATCCATTTTAAAAAGTTATGAAATTTTAGACAACTACTTTTAAATGTCGGCCTCTTAAGACTGCCACGTCTGTCAATCAACTTTTAGAGGGCGACGCTCCTAGGAAGCCTGCCTATAAAAATAACCATTTATCCTTAGAACGCCCATTGCTGCTAATGTATTGGCAAAGACGACATCGCAAGATGACTATTTAGAGAGGCATATGTTTGCCTAGAGCTCGCTTGGCTATTTACATAGACGACATTAGAAAATAGTCGCCTCTGTACTCTGTTCATCAGGGGCCTTGTGTTCTATTTTTTATAGTAGTGTTTTGAGACTAACGATGCAGGTTGATTAGTTTTATGTAATTCCGGCACTGGCAGCAGCCTCATCTACACTGCAGATCGTCAGCCATGAGAATACATCCGTTTCTAGATCATTAGTCATTTTGACTTTGTTCTAAGTTAAATTATCTAACTTTAATCTGGTTTTTATTGAAAATATATATATTACGGTATCAAATAAATGTACTATTAAGGTTCATAGTGGTTTTGATGAAACTAAATTGACGCGGTAGATGTTGATGCATTTTGGTGGATATATATACTGTGCTGCGAGGAGAACACTGTGGTTCCCATCTGTTCGCTTACCGGTTGAGTAGGCCCCGTTAGGCTTGCTAAATCTTGGCTGATATTGGCTGAAAAACACTGTTCTGGCTGAAATGTTGTAAGAGAAAAATACTGTTCCGGCTGAAAAAAGAAGCTGAACAAACCGAATATAGAGTAAGCCGAACGGAGCCTCAGTTGGATGGTGAGTCCTGACGCCAGCGATGAACAAGAACAATATATACTGCAAAACAAACGATTTATGAGTTCTTAGCAGAACTGTCCACTGGAAGGTAACCCAACATTATTCCATCAAGTTTTTCCCCCCCAAAAAAACATTATTCCATCAAGTTGATATAAAACAGGCTGAATTTTTTATTTTTTAGCTATTTTTTTGAAAGTTTTTTCACAAATACGTCCCTGGAGGAAAGATTTCATAATCTGGACCCTTAGCTCGGCGCCATCGATGCTGGCGCCGAGCTTGGCGCCAGGATGAATGGAGCCGAGCGTGGGGTGAGCGCTGGCAGTGGCAGGACGCTGCGGAGTGCTCGGGGCAGGCACGACGGCGACCGCTCAGAGAGCTAGCAGTAGCAGGGACAGAGACATGGCGCGAGCCCCGGACAGCCTCTCAGTCTGCTGCGGCTCGCGCTGTCAAGTTCGTACGGCCCTGGCCATTGGAGTATCAACTATCTAGTTCGTACGGCCCTGGCCTGCACTTCGCCCAATCTTCATCCTAGCTCATCGATCATGCATGCATGTCCCCTCCCGCCAGCCACACACCGAAGTGTCCGTATATATGACCATGGTGCATGCATCTCCGTACCGTGTCATCAGGCGGTTGTCAGTGACAGTGAGCAGTGCACTCAGTGCTGCTACGGACGCACGGAACCAGTATGGACGTGTCCGGCGGACGGGCCATGCCTGGGGGTGACAGCGACGCACGTCGGCGGGCACGGGCTGCACCGCAGCGTTCGCACGGAAGCTCCCCCGTCGCTTCCATCATCAGATCGTCGTCCAGAACTAGTAGAACTAAGAGTATGTTTATCTAACGCTCGGGTGTTTTAGCATCTGGGAACACACGATTTTTTTCTCCATAGATACTGTTTATCTTCCTCCTCTCTCCTCTTTTTCCTTGGCACAAATCACAAATCATAAGTAACAAATCACAAATCACAAGTAACAATTTTTCTCTATGAAAGGACAAAGAGAAAATTTGGTGACGGCGCCGGAGTTGGGGAAGAAGAAGCTCGCCGGAGTTGGGGAAGATGCCGGGCGTGGCAGCGGCGGCGCGGAGACGGGCGGGCGCAGGCACAGCGGCGCAGGCGCGGCAGCGACGTGGGCACGACGGCGCAGTCGCGGTAAAAAAAATTCGTGTGCCACCGGGTGATAAAACACCCGGTTGGTGTATAGCATTTCCGTAGAACTAAACGTGTCTCATCGATTCACCACGCACGAATGGCCGGCGGTGCAGGTGACGGGGGCAGGTGTGCGTGCGTGATTCAGCCCAGATGGACGTCAACGTTGCCCGTGGCTCATGTCCCACGTCCCACAAGAGCAGAGCGCGTGTAGGGCGGCAGCCGGCAGGGCATGGCCGTGTCGACTCGTCGTGTCACCCGGGTCGCAGCAAGCGACGAATATGGCAGGTCTATAGAGGAAGAGAAATGTTCATTGCATATGTACATAGGAAGAGAAACGGAAGTGGGGTGAGTACGTAGGGCAACCGGCCGGCCGCCGCACGCCGGCCTCTCTCATAAAGGCAAAAAAGGAGCAACAGGGAGTGGTGCGCGGCCGAACAGGACTACTACAGCCAACACAGGAGGTCCCAATCATCCGCGACACAACGGCTTGCAGGCCAGACCGTACATGTGAGCAGTTTCGGGCGCATGCATGCATGGACGCAGAAGGAGTACAGCTACAGCGCGAGGCGCAGCAGACTGAGAGGCTGTCCGGAGCTCGCGCCATGTCTCTGTCCCTGCTACTGCTAGCTCCCTGAGCGGTCCGCAGCGTCCTGCCACTGCCAGCGCTCACGCCACGCTCGGCGCCATACGTCCTGGCGCTAAGCTCAGCGCCAGAGTTGACGGCGCCAAGCTCGGCGCCGAAACGTGTTATCTCGACGCCAGCATCGATGGCGCCAAACTAAGGGTTTAGATTATGAAATATTTCCTTCAAGGACGTATTTGTGAAAAAACTTTAAAAAAAAGGGCTAAAAATAAAAAATTCGGTAAAACAGACCACTGAAGAACGGCGGCATGGTTTTCCTCCAGTCCAGCCGTTTTGATCAGCTGGGCTGGGGGAGGCCCTTGCTAGGCCTGCACAGCACAAGAAGTCGTCACAAAGAGGCCCAAAACAGACTCTGAACAAGCCGTGGTCGGAAAGTACCACATACGCGCCGGCGCGTGGCGCGGCTCGTTCCACACTTCCCTCCTGCCCGATGCATATTTCCCACCAGGCCCAATCAATCAACCGCCGTAGACATCCACGGCCACTAGGACAGAATCAAAATATCTGCCTATCGATCGCCACCGCGTTGTAGAGTAGCCACACGACGATTTTCCACGGTTCGTCGTCCTCGCAGGAAACGAGCTACGAACTGAATCGAATCCTTCAGCACCAGGAATCCAGCGAGCGAGCAGCCCGGAGTCCGCCATGGCCATGGTCGCGTCCACCTCCTTCACGTACCACAAGGTATGTAAGCGCACGGTCAGCCGCTGTGATGTGATGAGATATCCCAGATCGAACAGCTACCGTTGCTGCAGTTCGCTAATCTCTCTCTCTCTTGCTTCTGCTACTTCAAACTGCATGCAGCCGCGTTTCGCGGTGGTATGCAGGAAGAACAAGGACGGCCGGGACAAGGAGAGGGAGCGGGACAGCAAGGAGCACAAGCACCCCTTCAAGGTCGTCGAGATCACGCCGCCGCCGCGGTGCCTCGGCGTCCGCTGCTTCCCCACCGTACGCGACATCTCTCTTCCCATCTGTTTTCTTCTTCCTATATGCATGTATGCTGCCATGTAGTAGTGTCTAGAAGACTTCACCTCAGCTCTGAAGCTTGCATTCAGTCGATGTAATCTGACTGGTGCAGGGTTTGACACGAAGCAAACTCGCAGATACTAAAGTTCAGTCGATGTAATCGGCTAGAAGAACTTTATTGTCTTTCGCAAAGAGAAAACACTATCTTTTATTTGATGCCAAGAATATTCTTTCACTTATTCAATGCAACAATTATAGCATAGCACTCACCAGTAGACGGCAAAATGCTCGTTCATCCTGATTAAGGCTGCAGCGACCAACAAGGCAACAATAACACAGGCACTATGAGCAAAGTGGAGTGGAGCAGCATCGTCCCGTGCCGGCAGCCTGCTTCTTCACATAGCTAGCCGCAAGAGTCTGAACTACTTGTTCTGAATTTTTTTTTTTCAGAGCTCCTTCTTCTGAATATTCAGTATTCGGAGAACAACGTCAGCAATTGCTGTTCCCACTAGTACTCTGCTAAAAAAAACACTGACGTATTTTTCACATAGCTAGCCGCAGGGATCTTCATATAGTTTGGTGCCTTTTTTCTTTTATATATTATCTCAACCTCTCTACTCTAGTACTCTTTGCATTGCATCTGCACTGCACACACAAGTTATCACTGCAACTGCTGCCGGTTCCTAGCTAACGGCGTTGTTGTTCTTGGTTGTGTTGTGTGCCGGGGGCATGGATGACGACGGACGGACACGGGCTACGCGCCTACGCCAAGCAGAACATCCACTGCGGCGAGAGCGTGACGATCGAGGGTCAGGCGTACACGGTGTCGGCGGTGACGCATCGGTACCAGCTGCGCAAGGGGCGGTACGAGCCGAGCGAGAAGCGCCTCGACGTCCTCTCCACCGGCAGATACATCCTCAACCTCTACCTCCAAAACCTGCTCGACCAGTCCTAGCTAGACAGCTAGTACCTATCCACTGTATGTCTATATCAGCATCGCTTCACTCATCTCTATCTATCTAGCTGTAATAACAATCGATCGGCTCTGCTGCTGCTTCTATGTCCATCGAACACTTGGCCCAGTGGGTGGTGGACGATCATGCGTCAGGGATAGTGTTTCCCTGCTTCCCTGCGTGCTGCTCTGTGTAACTGAAAAAGGCGAGATGAGGCATAAAGTTTAGTATGCAAAAGGTTGCATATCTTTTCTGAAAACAAAAAAGTTCAGAAACTGCTCTGTCCGGGCATCAGGCCAGGATCTAGCCTAGACGTAGTGCGATGATGCCACTCGTGCGTACTTAGCTTAATGCATCTTATCTGATCCGGAAGGAATTCCTTAATCCCTCCTGTCCCTGTCATCAATTCATCATCGCTACGCCTCGGCGCCCTGCGCTAGTTTTCTGAAGAAGCCGTGAATGGCGATAAGCATCACCGATATACAGCCATACAGGGTGTAAAGGCCGTTGGCGTCTCGCGGCCTCCCTCGTCATCGGGGCTCTCCTCCCCTCCGGCTTCCCGTCGGCGTCGCCCATGTGACTGGCCAGCGGGACACAACGTTCAGAAACGGAAGGAAGAAAAAAAAAAGCTCCAGGCGTGAACGGCGACCGGTCTATCTGGCGGGTTTTCTTGCCGCCGCCGCCGCGGCTTCCCGCGTCAGCCGACGTGCTCCGACGGCCATCTGGAGCGTCCACCGGCAGCGCTCGCGTCGCCTTCCGGTTTCGGTCTCGCTCTCGCCACGTGGCCGCGCCAAATCCCCACGCCGCCGCCCATCCCCATCCGTTGGGCGTTGGCGCTTGGCGGGGGCGCGCTGTATGGACGCCGTCCATACACCGCTCCGCCGCGGGCGGTGACATCTGATCACCAGCAGGTGTATACACCCGTTCTATCCGCAGGTACAGCCGCCCCCACAGCCGAAATAAACAACCGCGCAGCTCAGCAGCCTTGATGCACTGACAAGTGGGTCCGACTGCCAGTCTCGTCGGCATGGCGGTGCTTTTGCCTGCTTGGGAGGTAAGAAAGAAAACACGACATGGGAAAATGGAGCCTGGGATTTTTTACCATTTACCCGGAGGGAGGACTAACCTAACACACCCGGGGGGAATGGTAATTAGAGGGGGGCCATAAATGATTAACCGCCAGAACAGGGGTGAGGCCGATAAATAAAGGGTTATTTAGATCGATACCATTACAAATACCATTACAATTCAACTATTTTGAGATTTACCATTATAATTCAATGTTTCACTGAGTTTTGCCATTTTTTACGTCTTCTAGCTGCTTGGACCCACCGGCAGTCGTATGCGTACTGTTCGCTTTTCTGAATGGACGTTTTTGCCCCCATCCCGAAGCTGAAAGCGCCTTGCGCCCGTGTCCCCATCTCTCAGTCTGTTCTCCTCCTCGCGCTCACTCTGTCTCTCACTCTCTCGTCCTCTCGACGCGGCGACGGCGGCGGAACCCTAACCCTAGCCGCCGATGTCCTGGAGCCCGCACCTGCGCCCGAGTCAGCCGCCGCCGCCGCCCAACTCCACTGCCTCCCGCACCCGAGCTGTCCTCCCATGGCCCCATCTCTTGGTCTGTAGGCTCTGCTCCGTGGCTACGCCTAGGTTTTGAAGCCATGGCAGAGCAGTGGACTGGAAGCCCGATGAAGGTACCTTCGACGGGCTCGAGCGCGACGGCCAGCGGCAGAAGGGAGTGCCCTTATTGCCATGTTCCTTTGGTCCGGATCTAGAGCAAGCAGTCGGCGACAAAGGATCAGTGGTTTCTCACGTGCCCGTACAACATTAAGGTTAGGATTCTTGCCATTTTTGACCTCACTGTGTCTCTTGATGCTACTCTGATTGATGCGTTTTTGTGTGCAGGGTGATCATACTACCTGCGGCTTCATCTGCTCTGAGTTGCAGATTCAGGCCTTGGAAGCAAAGGAACATCGGTTGCAGACTGGTAAGGAGACATCAGCTGACTGTTATGCCGAGTTGAAGGAAGAATTGCAAGAGTTGAAGCAAACTGTGGATAGTGTTGTAGTTGATATGTGAAAACTGAAGGTCCAACCTGCTGAACCGAAGTCTGAGCTGGACACGAAGAAATGCCATATTGTGCTTGATTGTTCAGTTGTATCGCGAGTTTTTTTTGGCTTTGTAGGTGTCCTGATTGGTGCATTTGTTGTTGCTGTTATGTGGAAGTGAACAGCTAGAATGTGTGTTAGTCGGCTAATGTAAGTGTGGGTTAGCTAATGTGTGACTGTGTGTATGTATGTTATCCTGGAATTGAATTGAAATGAAATGTGTTCTGTTGAATCAATTGACATATTGTATTCTAACTGGTTTGAGCTGGCCCATGGCATTAGGACCACCCAACTGATGTGGAAGAACTTGTTGCTGGAGAATTTCTTGGCTTTTCTAAGATAATTGTTGGATCAGCTGGGACTGATGCTGTGGGTTCATTTGAGATAGCAGATTTTGTTGTTGAATCTTTTAAAGCAGCTGCAGCTGCAGTTCTGATTATGATAGCTGTTGTAGTTGGGGTTGTTTACTTTGTAGGAGTGCCTGCTGGTATTCTGTTGTTTGTTGCTCTTTCAGCTTGTGCTGGTCCGATGACTGAAAACATGCAGCAGCTTTCAACTGTTGTTGTGGCTGTGATTGTTGCCGTTGGAGTTGTTCTTGCTGCTGCTGTAAGTGAATGGCATTTTGCTGCAATAGCTGGGCTTGCTGTTGCTGCAGAATCATAGAACTTTGCTGCAGTGGTTGGACCTGCTATTGTTGCAATACATGGTGAGACTGCTGCTGGTGTTGAGCTAATGAGGTAATTGCAGGGTGGTCCACTTTGGAACCAGCCTGTAAATTAGGTAAGCCAATATTTTGGGCCTGCATACTCAATCTTTTTGTTGGATCTTCACTGCACTACCTATCCCATCCTGCATACCGAGTGCATTAGAGGTCAAGTACTGCGACTGTACAACAGGGGCAGCAGTTGCTAGCATCTGAGGATTTTGCTGCATAGCCATCCACTGAACTAGGCTCAGGCCTAAAAATAATGCATTTTGGACATCTTTCGACTGTTGTCACCCAGTTCAGCAGATAATGATCTACTTGAACCTTGCTGCTGCAAGTGACCTGTGGCAAAGAGGAATGCCAGAAAAGAACCAAACACTTTGTTCAACACAGGACTCAGCACCAAGCACAGTGCTCCCACAAATTTGGGTCCAGTCTAGACGGTGAAGACAAATAGCATCATCAAAGCATTCTAACTACAACACAACAGGAATCCAAGACTTTACAGGTTCACAACCACTTAAATCGACATAACAACATACCAGGTTCACAACCATACAAGGTTCCAGCATTCTAACTACAGTAGTAGGTGGGTCGGCTGTTGCCTTCTTGGGCTTCTTGATGGGTGTCTTCTTCTTCTTTGGTGTGCCCTTCTTCTTCTTCTTCTGAACTTTCTGTTTCTTGGCTTGGGAGGGACTAGCTGCATCTATTGGAGCTTCTTTCCTATATTTTAAAGGTGACATTACATATTGTGAAGTGAAAAACAATGAGACATATTTAGTGCACAGAAACATACCTTTTGTTAGCCTTGTTCCTTGGTGGAGCTCTCTCACCATCTTCTCCAATCTCTACCTGTTTGCAAGTTTTTGAAAAGTGGCCAAAATCTCCACATCTCCTATATTTGACCTTCTTTTTTGGATGCCCTTTTCTCCAAGCAACCTCTTTGCCTTTGAACCTTTGGTCTTCCCGCTCCTCTGCCTAGCAATGGTGGATACACTTTGAATCCAAGTTCCACAACAGGCCATTGTGACCTATCTGGGATAGGTTCAATTCTGTCCTCATAGGTTGCCTTGAACCTAGCCATTGAGTAATACTCATGGACAAAATCTTCAATTTTCACCCCTCTGTTGGACATGATTCATGCCAAAGCATGTTTGTAGGGCTTCCCTGTCAACTGCCACTCCCTGCAGGAGCATTTATGGTTCTGCAAGTCAACTATTTGTCTTTTCTGATTGTTCCACTCATCTAAGATGGTCACTTCTGCAATATCAACATCACTAACTGATACCTTGACCACTTTGAGGTTATTGCTGATCAAGTTGAGCTCCTTCATCACATTTGGGAGTATTCCATCTGTCTACTACCTAGCAAGCATCTTCCTAGTGTATCTCTTCTCCATGATCAGCTCTCTAATTCTGTCAACTAATTCATGCTGTAGCAGACCTTTGAACTTCTTTATTTGTGCATTGAAGCTCTCTGAAACATTATTTGTCAAGTAGTCACACTTGTTGTTTTCTAAAAATGCACACCTGTACCAAATCCTGTTGTGGTGGTCCTCAAGGTACTCAATGGATTCAGGTGCAAACTCAAAATTTTTCTTCATGTGCCACTGAAACAGCCCTTGTGTGTAGCTTCTAGCTGCAGGGTACAAGTGATTAGTGAACACCTCACCAGAATACTTCTTCAAAAAATTCTGATACAAATGCCTCATGCACTCCCTATTTTTAGCTTGTGGGAAGACAAACCCCACTGCAGTCTCTAGTCCTTTACATGCATCTATGCATATAACCAGATTTGGAACATCTCCTACAACCTTATGCAGCTGGTGCAGAAACCATTTCCAATTATCTTTAGTTTCTGACTCGAAAATTGCATAAACTATATGGTACAACCAATTGTGTCCATCCACACCAGTAGCTGAAGCTAACTGACCCCTATATTTACCATGCAAACAGGAAGCATCTACCCCAATAAAAGGTCTGCAACCAGATAAGAATCCATCCACACATGGTCTAAGAGCAACAAACATCATCTTGGATCTGTTTTTATGCCAATCTTCTTTAACTCTATCTCTACTAAGCTACCAGGGGATACTTTCTCAATTTGAGCAGCCCAATTAAAAAGCACCTGAAAACTCTTCTCATATTTACCATGGATCTGCTCTAAAGCTACCTTCATACCTGACCATGCC